GGGCAGTCTGGAACATGCTAGAAAGCAACAGGTGGTGCTGATACGGGAAAAGAGGAGGCAGACAAGGGTGACAGTGACTGAGCAGCAAAGATATCAAAGAAGATGAAAAGAAGCAATTAGAGGAATTGACAAGCACATAATCACAAACAGTGATGAACTGTTGTCTCAGAAGGGGAAAGGGGGGACCCACAAATTAACATCTTCAAAGTTCTTGATTCTGTGATTTTATCTTTTTTTTTCAGTAATTTCAAATTTTTAGTGGTTTTTAGTGATTTCAAAATCAGATTTGAGTTGTATTTGTCTCCTGATTTGTAAGTCTTGATTACTGACTGATTACTTGGAGTAAAAATTGATATATCTAGGGGCACCTGGATAGCTCAGTCAGTTAAGTATCTGACTTCAGCTCAGGTCATGATCTCATGGTTTGTGAGTTTGAGCCCCACATTGGGCTCTCTGCTGTCAGCACAGAGCCCACTTCAGATCCTCTGTCCCCCTCTCTCTGCCTCTCTCTTTCTCTCAAAAATAAACATTAAAAAGACCTGATATATCTAATAAGCATTATTTACAATGATTTCCCCCTGCCTCACACCATAGATAAGCCCAAAAGGGAATATTTCACAAAGCAAGGGAACGCATGTATGAGGGACATTTTGGGTCACCATGGCGATCTAATAGCACATACACCTTTGGTTATACAGCCAGGCTAAGAAGACCGTGCTGTTCCAGTAGTCATCAGGGGCATCTCCATCACCATCCGACCACAGGACCTCCGGCTGATACTTGTTCACTAGCTCGTAGAGTTCTGGCAGCGTCTTGGAAACTGGAAATTGTTGCTGATGGAATGACCTGGACTTATCCTCAAGGAAGAGTGGATGAAACCATTCAAAGAGGGAATAGTACAGTCCAAAGCGAAGGTCAGTCCTGTTCCTAATAGCTGCCTCAAGCTCCTTGACAAGGTCCCTCTTGGGCCCCACATCCACCGCATTCCAGTTCCATGAATGCTTTGAGCCCCACAAGGTAAAGCCTGCACAATTACAGTAAGAGTCTTTGTAAGAATGTGAATCTGCTTTAGGACATTTCCACCTATACAAATACCAAAATAGTGCATGTGACATACAAAAACTTCTACAACAACTGCTTTGTGGAACTTTTTTTCATGGCACATATTCTGCTTTTATATGAGAAACAAATGAGAATCTAAACCAGGTGGAACCAAGGTTCTGTTAAGTAACATTCTGGGTACCCCTTAAGGTCTGCATAATCTCATCTAGCTCCTATATTTTTCCTCATAGAATATAAGCTTCTTGGGGTGGCTCAGTCGGGTAAGAGTCCATCTCTTGATTTCAGCTCGGGTCATGATCTCACAATTTGTAAGATTGAGCCCCACATCAGGATTCACATCTGGATTCCCTCTCTCCCTCTCTCTCTCACTCTCTCACTCTCTCTACCTCTCCCCAACTCATGCTTGCTCTCTCTGTCTCAAAATAAATTAATTAATTTAAAAAAAGCTTCTAAAACTGTTCACTCTTGTCAAAGGTGTTTGTGGTAAGCTTCAAAGCAGCAATATTTAAAGTCCTATTCAAAATGTTTCAAATCGACAGGCTCTAACACCAGACAGTACTGAAACCACATGGATCTTCATCACCACCTAAACTCACATAAAGATCTTCCTGCCTAAGCAACCTCAGTGGGACTTTTTCCAAAAAGCAATGAAAACATCTGAAAATGGGAGTCCTAGAAAGTTTACAAATGTCGGCTTCAGTATCTGTCCTCACAGTATGATTAAAAGTATTTTGTTTTGCCCTGTGTAGCAGACAGACAGTGCTTTGCTGCCACATTAGAACAGGTATATTTTGGAACTTCCCATACAAGGTGCTATGTCTCTGCCAATGTGACTGGCTTCAAATGTGCGACAGGAATGTCTTGTTCAATGAGAAAGGATGCATTAGATCAAGCAGAAGGGCTTATAGCTTTTCCTCAATACATTGCTGAAGATTACTTGATGGCCAAAGCCATAGCTGACCGAGGAAGTTTGCAAAGTCCACTCAGGTTGCAATGCAAAACTCTGGCTCTTACTCAATTTCCCAGTTTCAATCCAGAATGATCAGATGGACCAAACTGCAAACTAACGTGCTTCCTGCTACAGTAATTCGTGAGCCAATTTCGGAGTGTTTTGTTGCCAGTTTAATTACTGTATTAATTAATTAATGTATCCCACCATGTATTCAGATGGGATATTATGGTGGTTTTCAAGTGTCATTGCCTGGCATGGTTTATATCTGACTACATTCAACTCAGGGGTGTCCAGGGTGGCACACAGTGTTTTTCAAAACTCGATTATGCAGTAGCCTGGTTCATCTGTGAATCCATGACAATACATATTTTTTTTTTTTGTCGGCATTATGGGACCCTACTATAAGCTGGAGAACTGATTGCTACAGATTGCACTGTAGAGGCACAGCAGAAGAGTTTCTAGATATATAACTATAGCTTTGTGACTGTACATAAAGGAAAAAAGAGAAGTATTATAAATTATGTTTATATAAATGCTTTGAAAGATCTAAAAAAGACGCTATTTTTGTTTTATTTTTAAAACAAAGTGTTTTAAAACAAAATGCACACTATGTAATTCTTTGTGCCATACGGCTTAGAGGGTTCCTAGACATCAGGAAATCAACAACATGTTCACAAGCAAATACACTTTCTAAATACCCACCTCCATAGGAGAAACATCTATAGGAGAAAATCATTAAGCCACTTGAATGTGGCCAAAGGGAAAAGTATTCTAAGATAAGTACAGATTTTTGGTTTTGGTTCTTCCCTCTTACTTCCCTCCCCACCCCTGTGGAAAATACTGAGGCATAATTTCTCATGCCGAGGCAAAAATGGTCATAGCAAAAGCAATCATCAAATGAATTAACATGTGGTTGAGACAGTAACAATTTGTTGACACTTCCTTGATCTTTTGGATACTGGAATGGTAATGGGTGGAAACTATCCTATTAATGTAAGACCACTGTGATGGATAATTTTATGTCTCAACTTGACTGGACCACAGGGTCATGACCTGAGACAAAATCAAGAGTTGTACACTTAGCAGACTGAGCCACACAGGTACCCCGAGATTAACATCTAAATAGGTAGACTGATTTAAAAAATTAATTAAAAAAAAAAATAGGGGCGCCTGCATGGCTCAGTCATTTGAGTGTCCAACTTCAGCTCAGGTCATGATCTCATGGTTCATGGGTTCAAGTCTTGCGTCCAGCTCTGTGCTGACAGCTCAGAGCCTGGAGCCTGCTTTGGATTCTGTGTCTCCCTCTCTCTCTGCCGCTGCCCTGCTTGCATTCTCTCTCTCTCTCTCAAAATAAAATAAAATATTAATAAAAAATGTAAATAGATAGACTGAGTAAAGCAGATTGCTCTCCCCAGTGTGGATGGGCTTCAGCCAATCCCTTAAAGACCTAAACAGAATAAGAGGCTAGGTAAGAATTCCCTCTCAGCCTGTCTGAGCTCACACCTTCTCCTGCCTTTGGACTCAGACTACAACTATACCACCGGCTCTCCTGGGTCCAGACTTCTCAGCCTCCATAACTGGAGGAGCCAGTTTCTTCTAACAAATCTCTTTTTATATATCAGACTTCCAATTGGTTCTGTTTCTCTGAAGAACCTTGACTCATACACCGTGTTTCCTTTCAGATGTTCTTCCACCATCTCTGTCATTTATGGGCACCATTACAGTTCCATAATCCTTTTCCCTCCAGGTGACCTGTGTTGCTTTCGTCACCAACAAATTGCCCACCATTTGGCTATCTAAGAGTTGGCCAAAAGTGCAGCAAGGTGTTGGTAATGACACAAGACTACAGCAGTACAATCCCCATGGTGGTGGAGCCTTCCCAGAATGCATTACAGAGGTGCAGTGAAAGGGAAGAAGGCAAATTTAATCAAAAACTTTGTGGGGCGCCTGGGTGGCGCAGTCGGTTAAGCGTCCGACTTCAGCCAGGTCACGATCTCGCGGTCCGTGAGTTCGAGCCCTGCGTCAGGCTCTGGGCTGATGGCTCAGAGCCTGGAACCTGTTTTCGATTCTGTGTCTCCCTCTCTCTCTGCCCCTCCCCCATTCATGCTCTGTCTCTGTCTGTCCCAAAAATAAATAAACGTTGAAAAAAAAATTAAAAAAAAAAAAAAAAAAAACTTTGTGTGCGATGCACATCTCACTTCAAATAGCTTCAAAAGAAATCTTGGAAATACTTTTAAATATGCACATAACAAAATACGATCATTTTCCTTTCTTTGTGTTGTTTTTATGTGTGTGTATGTGTGTGTGTGTGTATATGATCTTTCTATAAACCCAATGCCTCTCAATTGGATGAAATATATGGTCCCTTAAATTACAGGCAAATGTCAGTAGCCACTTGACTACTGCTCCTAAAACTGATTTGATGTGTTTTAGTTTCTTCTTCCAAAAGAACTACTTACTCTACATTTCATAACTATCACCAGTGTTTGTAAATGTTACACTTCTTTACCTTCATGATGTTTGGAAGTTAAGACAGTGTATTTGGCACCAGAAGCCTGAAAAACATCTGCCCAGTAGCTCGCATTAAAAAACCGTGCTGTAAATAGTGGTCCAAAATCCTCATATTTGAAATCAGGACGGTAGTTATCTTCCATAAACTTCACATACATCGGTATCTTTTTCTCTTGCCAATACCACCTAAAGGAAAGAGGAGAGAACACATAAATAGCATACGCATAAACCCAGCTCCCTTTACTGATTCCCCCTAACTCGAGTGTTACCCAGATTCTTTCTCCCTTCCCCATCAGTTTGACTTTGCCTTAAAGAAAGCTTATGTAAACTTTCTGCATTTTTCACCTGCCCCTCTGTGAAATCCCCTCAGCTCATAAATTAGAACATTCTAGACAACCCGGCCACCTATTTGCTCTTAATTCTTCATTTTATTTATTTATTTATTTATTTATTTATTTATAGACAGGAAGCAGGATTTATTGGTGGGCATGAATGGGAAAGGGCAGTGCTGAGGTTCTCATGAATGCAGAGCCTGCCATTTGTCCAAGGGGCCACGATTAGGGATGTATTTGACCCCACAGCCATCTGGGATGAGCCGCTTTTCAGCCACCATGTCTTCAAATTTGTCCACATTAAACTTAGTAAAAAATGCTGATTAGATGCCACGAAGTAGGTGGCAATGCCTTAACCGTATGCATGTTGTCAGGCCCGAGGGCCTCTTCCATCCTTGTCAAGGGGAGTGCTAACCTTCTCTCCTTTCATACAACACTTAATTCTTCATTTTTAAATCACAAGGTGTAGTCTGTACCTTTAGATAGTTAGTCCTTTGCAACACAAGTGCCAGCCTTCAAGAGGAAGACCACATGCCTAAAACAACATGAATCTTTTATATTCACCAGCAAAGAACAAGTGGGGGAGTTGGCAACAGTAAAATTAAGAAGATGCTGCTATTTTAATAGATTGACTCAGCCTTTAAGGATTCCTTGTATGCATTCATTCTGAGCAAGGCCTTCCTGCCTTTGGACAAGGTTGTGTGAAGCAATGCCTGGCTGCCATCAGGTGACATGAAGGGACAAGTCAACAGGCTGAGGACCACAGAAATAGGTTTGTTCTTTGATTGTATCAATGAGACAACCTGCCTCTAAGTTTCTCATTATTTGGTGTAATGAGCCCCTATTATTACATCATGTATTTGGGGTTTCTGTACCTTGAAGTGAAAGCTTCCTAACCGATCCATGATGAATTTTTGCCTTTTTTTTTTCATTTTTGCCTTTTAAATTGAACTATAAAAGACAAACTGGGACAGTCAGAAAGTTGAACATAGATAAGAGATTTCTACTTTCTCCCAGCACTGTTTAATTTGAGCCTGCATTCTCTACTATAGTCTCGAGTTACTTTTCAAATTTCATACTAATAGAGGTGAAAAGAGGCACTTACTGTAAAGAGTCCATCATTTATATCTGGATTTGAATTGCCATTAAGGACAGTCAGATATATTCATCTCTACCATTGACTGTCCTGAGTCAAATTGGAGGGCAGAGCAGAGGCTTAGAGGGAACACAAAGGGAAACCATAGGTAATTAAAGAATCTTCTACAGGCTTAATGTACTTCCAGACCATCCGAAATATATTCTACTTAGGTTTCTTTTTTTTTGTTTTTAATGTTTATTCATTTTTGAGACAGAGCACAAGCGGGGGAGGGGCAGGGAGAGAGGGAGACACAGAACCTGAAACCTGAGCCATCGGCACAGAGCCTGACACAGGGCTCGAACTCACACACCATGAGATCATGGCCTGAGCTGAAGTTGGTCCTTTAACCGACTGAGCCATCCAGGTGCCCCACATTCTAGTTAGTTTTATATGAGCAGTATCTTTATTCTTCTAGGTCAAAACAAACAATTCTGTGTGTGTTTGTAGAAAATGAAAAGTTAACCAATGCAAAGAGCAATATGACTCAAAACTAGGTATTTTTGATAGAGCATCACATCCTCTTCCAGCACCAGATATATATTTACCAAACACCCTGGGTGAACAAAATGATAAACTATAAATTATTACATCTTAATATGAGAGGAAGAAAATCGGTTAGTTTATACTAATCTGAAACATTTCAAAAATAAACTCAAAATGTCTTACAGCACAAAACTTACAAAGATATATAATATCCTGAAGTAAATGTATCTGGTAATACACAATATGGGGAAAAGGAGTCCCTGGTTTTACCAGCAGATTTCAAAAGAGTATACAAATAGCACTCTGTAGCTTACAATATTCTTTTACATCAATCGGTCTAACTTAATAAGAAAGGTTACTGCTTGGGGCGCCTGGTGGCTCAGTCGGTTAAGCCTCTGGCTCTTGCTTTCAGCTCAGGTTATGATCTCAGGGTTCATGAGATCAAGCCCCGAGCTGGACTCCGCACTTGCAGGGGGGAGGCTGCTTGGGATTCTGTCTCTCTCTCTTTCTCTCTGCTCTCCGTCTCTCTCTAAGTACACGGAGCAGCACTTAATGCATACTTGTTGAAGTCCTTCAATGAACCGGGGTTCTAATTATTGAGCATTATGAAAAAGCAGCAAAGGAAATGACTAATAAATAAATAAATAATAAAAGAAAGAAACTTAAAAAGTCAAGCTCTTTGTTGAAAGTGGTACAATGTTAATATAATATATAGTTTATACTCTACTGTACTACATATTGTATATATTAAATTTGATGCATACTAGGTATACAGTATAAAATAGAGGTAAATACTCATTTATTTTCTTATGGAATACATTATATATGTGTGCATCACTTTACGTGTATGTATTTGACAACACTTCTATCTTGAAGAACTTAACACCGAACTACTCAGGAAAGGTATGTGAAACAGTTCAAAGTTGTAAGAGACGACACGCACATTTTTACATAGATCTCAAGGTAAAATCTAAAGAGCAATTTTTTTTGTGCAGCACTTTTTACAGAATAGTCTATTAATAATAAGGGAGTTTTTTTAGGGTAACATTCTAGAACCTTTTTTTTTTAAATCCTAGAGCCACACAGGGTAACATTTTAACATTAAAGGACCAGTGCCTGTCCGAATGAACGTTAAGTTTCACATACGCACAATGTGTGTTTTAACCGTGCTGTAGGGCAGAACCGTGTTGGGACCTCGAGTGGGTCTCCACCGACACCACTTTAGGCCCAAGACCCACACAACTGCACGAGGATCTGCCGCTTGAGCGGCTCCGCGGTTACAACGTGATCATTAGGGCTGGGGCCCTGCGACCGCCGAGAGGCCGAGCGGCCGGCGCTGCCCGACGACTCCCGCGGCCGCACGGAGGAAAAGTCCACGTTGGTCCAAGTAGACACAGCGAATTACAGTCAACACCCGGAAGTGCCGCTGCAACGGCGGCGGGCGAAGGGGACCCGGGACCAGGCAAGCAGGCAGGGGCCGCGGGCTGGGCGGCGGCTGCAGGCCGGGGGCCGAAGGCGGAGTCGGGGCCGACGGAGGGGGGCGCGCTCACCAGAACCACTCGCTCCCGAAACTGGGCACGGAGAACACCCCCCAGTGGACGAAGATGCCGAACTTGGCCTGGTCGAACCAGGCGGGCAGCGGCCGGGCGTCCAGGGACTTCCAGGTGGGGTCGAAGCGCGGCGCGCGGTAGGCGGCGCGGGGTGCGGGCGGCAGCAGCAGCAGCAGCAGCGGGAGCGCCAGCCCGAGCGCGGGGAGCGCGGGAGGCGCCGAGGGGCGCATGTCCGCGCGCCGCCCTCCGCCCCGTCGGCCGCTCTGCGCGCTCGTTCTTCCGCGGCTCCCGCTAAGTAAGCGCGGCCTCTGTCACCTGACCTCGCTGTCTGGAAGAAGGCGCCCTCCCCGCTAGGCGTGGGAGTGGCTGCGGTCCCGGGCGGCCCGCACACCCCAGGAGGGCTGCATCGCTCAAGTGCGAAACTCACGTGGCCAGAAGTAGCCCTCAGCCGGCCCCGAGGCTGCTTAGCTAAGGCTCCTTGGGGAGCAAAGGGTCAAGTTCAGGGACCTGTGGGATCGCCTATTTGCTGGAAAAGCTCAACCCTCACGGACTTTCCGTGACCGTCCCTGTGGAACCCTGCACGCGGAGGCCGAGGCAGGAACCTCGACAGGGTCATCCAGTGCCTTCCAAGTCCAACCACCAGAAACAATCCGGATCATTCTCAGCCTCTGATCCACCCCCCAAACTTCTGGGTGTGTTACGGCTGTGGCTGTCAACCTGGAGCCTGTGTCTTGTGAAATCCCAACAGTTTCCAGTTCAGTTAGGGGCCCCAGAATTTGCATTTCTAACCCAGTCCTAGATGTTGCTGATGTTGCTGGCCCTGATCACCAAATTTGGGGAACCACTGCATCCGAGAACAAGGCGCCAGTGGCATGAATGTTTAAGAAATCTGCAGGCTTGGGAAAAGCAGCCTAAAACTTGGAATGATTAATCAAGGGACAACATCACGAGGGACAACATCTCCCTTCCGGAAATGATTTTAGAATAAAACCAGAATCCTTTCTCCTCCTACCCCTCTTAGCCATGAATGGGCCAGTTCAAAGGTCATCTCCTCCCAGCTTTCTGACACCACCTTCCCTCCCAAATGTTTTACCACTTCCTGTGTGTTAACGTCTTACTCCAACCACTACTATAGGATTCTGTTGATCATTTTGTAATTAGGAGGACACAGATATTTCCCATTAGGCCGGGAGCTTCCAGTGGATGGGTGTGGCAACCATTTCTGTAGCCCTTGAATTTAAAGCAAAGCCTGGGGGCACCTGGGGGGCTCAATGGATTAAGCCTCCAACTTCAGCTCAGGTCACAATCTCATGTGAGTTAGAGCCCCACGTCCAGCTCTGTGCTGACAGCTCAGAGCCTGGAGCCTGCTTCAGATTCTATGTCTCCCTCTCTCTGCCCCTCCCCCCAAAAATAAATAAACATAGAAAGAAAGAAAGAAAGAAAGAGAGAGAGAGAGAGAGAGAAAGGAAGGAAGGAAGGAAGGAAGGAAGGAAGGAAGGAAGGAAGGAAGGAAGGAAGGAAGGAAGGAAGGAAGGCGGGCAGGCAGGCCTGGCATGGAGCAGCCTTAACGCATACTTCTTGAGGTCCTTCAATGAACTGGGGTTCTAATTATTGAGCGTTATGAAAAAACAAAGAAGGAAATGATACTAACCTATCTCTGCAAAGACACGGGAGCAGCACCCCAGGGAAAAGGGTAGTTAGCCTCTTGGTGCCGTGTTAATGGCTCCCCAGGATCACAGCTTCCCCATGAGGGGGCCCAGTCTTCCCAGGGTGAAGGGCTCCTGGAAGAGAGGGTTCAGGGAACCTGCTGCATATGCACTACCAGTTACAATAACCTCAGTTAGTGATAAAGTAGGGTGATAATTTCTATTATTCTAGGGGCAGAGGGCGGACTTCCTCAAGATAGGCCACTGTGGCCCGAAGATTATTCTGAGTTGAAGGCAATAGAGACCCTAGGGGACTCGAGAGAAATTTTTGCCCTTCCCTAAACTACATAATTGGGGATCTTTCTGAGAATAAGGGTTATTAGCTGAGATAAACGTTATCTGAGTGACCCATCTGTCTGGCAGGTCAGACTTCTAATTACCAAACAGATGCTTCTTACTGCCCTGTGAAGAAGTGCGCTTCTTTCCTCTAAAGTCCCAGACCACTGCCCCCTTCTCCTTGGTACAGAATGACATATATACTTGATTTCGCCTGACTCTGGAATTTCCATGTCTGTGTGGATTCTCCATACAAACACTATTAAACTCCGTTTTCTGCTATTAACCTGTCTGTCAATCTGCTCCTTAGTCCAGTTAGACCCACCTTGAGGGGACAGGAATTCTTGCTCCCTGACCTCTGGCACAGTCAGTAGGACACTTTAACTCGCTGGGCATAGTTCACTCTGATACTGCTGCAGCTGAGGGACCCTAGGGCATCTGACAGAGAGCCAGCAGAAGGTAAGATTTCTTACCGTGTCAGCCTCCCAGAACCTCTATCTATGGAGGGCAATGGAGCAAAATGGTCAGAGTCCTTTTTCTAAGTCTAGATTAGCAGGAGAAAATATTTGTGGAACCAGTCTCTTGGGTCTGGCGACTCTTTGGTTAAATTTGCTAGAATACTGTTTGGTTACTGGTCCACTTCCTCCCAGAGATGGTCTTTGTTTTGCTTTGTTGTGTCTTTTATGTTGCTTGTCATCTGTTGCTAAGGGACATCTTGGAAGTTAAAGCTGCAAAATTAGTGGGCATAGATTGAACACTTAAAAGCTGTTAGAGCACTCGCCACCTCAAGAAGACTCCCGTGGTAGGATATGTTGGCCACAGAATGACACTAGATCACCCACCAACTTCAAGAAAACTTCCATGCAATGAGGTCCATGGTAAAGCAACATATAATCCCAACCATGTGGCATATCCCTCCTAGGTATTAGTTTGGATCCAAGGTAGTAGTTTGGATCCAAGGCTTAGCTAAAGCTGTTAGACTTTTCCATTAGTCTTGTTCTATGTCCTGAGAGCTTGGCCTTGTGACCAGCAAGAATATTCTCTTTGTTCTCTGCCACCTGGAGAGTGTACTTACCCACGGGTACTTACCAGGGTGTACCTTCGTGGCTAGTTGAATAGACTGGGGATCCAAGAATCTCTTTCTTTCTCTCTCTGGCTGTGCCAGCTCTTAGGGGTGTTTATCATAAGAGATTCTAGCTCATAGGAACTTTTGTCGCCTCAACCTTTGTTGCTTGGTAGTGCTAGAAAGTCTCATTCTACAAGCATCTGTATGGTTGTTGTAGACTCTGGGTCTAAAGTTCTCTCTTGTCCAGCAAGAGAGTGGGCACACAATTAAAATGCAAGAGATGGCTAATGTCTGGGAAAAGACAAGAGCCCTGTATAAGGGTCCTTGCTCCATATTTATTAAGATCAGAAGGCTTACAAACGTGATGGGCATGTACAAGGAGACAATGAATCTGTGAACATTAATTCGTAGGCATGAGGGAAAGGGGGTTTTGAAGATATATGGTGTTAGGGGTTTGGGTCAATATAAACCAAAATCCTGGCACAGGGCAGATGAATGTTAACAGCAGACATGAGGCTCCACTTCTGTGTATCTTAGCCAGCCTGAGGGATAAGACAGATAAAACCTGTAACAGCAGGGTCAACAAGGCACCTTTCTTTTGCTAATTAGCTCCACTCTGGGCAGCTTCACCCTGCAGTGGCCTATAGCCCTATTTACCTGTTTTACCTAATTTGGTCCTTCCTTTTTGTGAAAGCAGCTTTCTTCTATAGCACTAAATTGGAGGATGTTTTCTACCTGAATACCTAATCTTGCTTACCTCATATACCTTTGTATTGGGGCCTTTGCCCCCGCTTCTATCCTGGGGGCCTTTGCCCCCCCATCCACTCTATCCTTATTTGCCTAATCTTGTTCACCCAAGTTTGGGTGTGAGCATCCTATGACTTTGTGATTCTTTATGCCTTGTTAACCCATCAGTGCAGGCTCAAGGAATTCCTAAGCTTATTCCCCACATACGGTGTCACAGATTAATGGGTCTGAGGCTGGAGGCATCTCACATTTTCGTGGGAGACCAAAGACACCATTTTCAGTAGACCATCCTCACTGCCTATGCAGTGAAGGCCTTTGCTTTCTTAAAATAAACTTTTGGATCATGAGGCCCTCTTTGGACACCTCTTGCATATCTTGTTTAGCCATTAAGAGCCTTATTGGTTTGAGTTGCTATTAATAGATGCTATTTGCCAATGGCTGGCTGATGGATCATTTAAATTGGCTCTCTCTCTCTCTCTCTCTCTCTCTCTCTCTCTCTATATATATATATATGATTTTTTATATATATCACCTGCCTATCTTAACTTCCTTTTCCTATAAAATTTACAAAGATTACTCTGGCCTAATCTCTAGATTCTAACTATATAAGTTGTTCACATAAATGTTGAAAGCCAGAAAATAACTTTAACAAAAGCATCCAAGACGGGCAATAAGGCTTGCTTTGCTCTTACCTTCCAGGATTCTATAATCAGGTTCTGCCTGCTTTAGACATTCCTACATGATGTCAGTTACCAGTGTATCCTAGACCCCCCGACCCCACCACCATGAAAAAAATCTGTGTCTCCTGGACTGCAGCAGATCTTTTAAATTATAAAGCCATTTTACCTCTACTTTCAAAAGATCACACCAAATTAGAGACTTATTAGAGAGATTATTTTACTATATTCACAACCTTCCCTTCACTGAGGAAATAGATGACCAAAATTTCTCCAAGGTCCTCCTAAACATGGTCTGCAATATTCGGGGGCTATTAGAAGCCAAGGTTAAGTTGTGTGCCCAGAAAAAAAGGCTTTTGTTAAAAATGCTTTATACAGATTTTACAGAGGCATAAATATTTTGGTTCCCATTTTAGTTAAAATTCTCCCTGATATAAAGAAGTAAATTCAGTTAAAAAAAGGTGGGCCAATCCCTTGATAGGCTGTAATCCAGGTCTTTGGGGAATTAGGAACAGCTGTCTTTATTTTACAACTCTCTATAAAACCAGAAATACAACTCTAGAAACAAGTTAAAGCCCACCTATCTTTACCAATCTCAAACCTTGCCTATTCCTCTCAAAATGTTTGTAGATATTATAAAAGATGAGGATATTGGAACAAAATTGTTCTGTACTTTAAAAAACAAAAAAGTAAATTTTAAATAACAATTACCTAGAAACTCAAGAATAAAGTTTTTACATTCTTTCTCTGTCCCTTGAAATGATAATTCTTTATCATGTCTTTGAAATGTAAATACAGCCCACAATCTCTTGAGACTGAAGAAAAAAAAAATAGAGAAAAGTATTTTAAAATTGGGCCTGCAATGTCTTCTCCACAAATATAGGAGAAACAAAATTAAGATTTTGTATACATCTTGTCTGTGTATTTTGTGTGTGTGTGTGTGTGTGTGTGTCCACGTATGCTGTAAACGTGAGATATTTTTTCTACCTCTGGATGGTATTGCTAAAATTAATTTGTAAAACAGCTTTATTTAGTTGGTTTGAAGGCACACACTTGTAAGGATTGAGCATTCTAAAACTCAGAAAGATAGAAACTAACCCAAATGTCTTTCGAGTTCACATGATCCGGGAAAATATTCAATATTAAAGCTAATTTAAGGTTGTTGGTTTAATTAAAATAGACATATCTTTAGAGTTATCAGCATTAAATATAAAAGTTTTATTCTGCTCTTGTTTATTAAAAGTCACATAAGTTCAGGGCACCTGGGTGACTCAGTGGGTTAAGGGTCCAACTCTTGGTGTCTGACTAGGTCATGATCTCACGGTTTGTGAGATCCAGCCCCAAGTCAGGCACCTCACTGACAGCATGTAGCCTACTTAGCATTCCCTCTCTCCTTCTCTCTCTCTGTCCCTCCCTGACATGCATGCATGCACACACACTCTCTCTCAACATAAACTTTTTTTTTTTTAAGTCACATAAGTTCATAGTATCTCTGTTGCAAAATTTGTCCAAAAAACAAAACAAAACAGTATAATGGTTGACTTTGTCTAATGCCTCATGAAGTTTCATAGGTGGTCTAAAAATAGTTGTTAAGAACAAGTAAATTAAAAATGTAAAAAAGATAAAATAATGAATATGTGTTTATCTATTTTTGCCTTATAAAGAAACTAAAGACAAATTTGAATCTGTTAGTAAATGTGTTTTATGCTTTATTGAACGATTGTACTGGGGCACCTGGGTGGCATCCAACTCTTGATTTCAGATCAGGTCATGGTCTCATGGTTGGGTTCATGGGATTGAGCCTTGTGTCGGGCCCTGCACTGATAGTCTGGAGCCTGCTTGGCATTCCCTCTCTCCCTCTGTCTTTCCCCCTCCCCAGCTCACATGCACACATGCTCTCTCTCTCTCTCTCTCTCTCTCTAAATAATCAACATTAAAAAAAAAGATGGTACTATAAAAATGTTTCTAAAAATTATGAAATGTATTAATAAATTTGTCAATCTAAAGAATTCTGCTCACAGTTCACAGTTGCTTATTACATAGTTTTCACAAGCTATTAAGGTTGCCAAGCATTAAGAATTCTAATAAATGTAATTATGACTACTAGAAATAATAAGGGAAACAACTCTATGCAAGAAAAGTAAGATACATGTTTTTGGTAAGAAAAAGTATGAGGAATAAAAATATATATTTGTTGAGGGGG